AGAAATAGAGAAATACAGTCGCCAAGTTAATGTCCATTCAAATAATGGACTCAACTCCCTCCCCCTCTCACACTACACAGCCGGCTAACAGATGGTCGGTCGGTCCCTCCCTCCCCCCCCACCCCCCACCAACCGTCCCAAGGAGATGTGTGGGATAACCTCAAACTAAAGTTAGGAAAATATAATTGACATTGCTGGATTCCTTGTAAGACCAGGAATATTTTGAATATAAATGTCATATATTTTGCACAAAAGATAACATAGTTACCTAGAGAAAAATTTTTATCTAAAAATTGTAAGTTTAAAGCAAAATATATGATGTTTATATTCAAAATGATCACCAAATTATAAGAATTCCAGCAATGTAAATTATATTCTGACCGGGTAATTTGTATGAATTTTATGAGCTAAAACAAATATCTTCAGTTAATAAAAAAAAAATAATCTTCACGACACTATCTGTCAATCAAAGTACCCCACCTTGCCTCCCCCCCTCTTCCAACCGCGCGGTCAGTCCCAACCCTCCCCCCCACCCCCCACCAATCCTCCCTTCCAGAGTTTTTAACATTTAGTATTAAATAATACCTCAGATTAAAGTTAGGATAATATAATTGACATTGCTGGATTCCTTGTAAGACCAGGAATATTTTGAATATAAATGTCATATATTTTGCACAAAAGATACCATAGTTACCTAGAGAAAAATTTTTATCTAAAAATTGTAAGTTTAAAGCAAAATCTATGATGTTTATATTCAAAATGATCACCAAATTATAAGAATTCCAGCAATGTAAATTATATTCTGACCGGGTAATTTGTATGAATTTTATGAGCTAAAACAAATATCTTCAGTTAATAAAAAAAAATAATAATTCTTCACAGGGTAACAGATGGTCGGTTGGTCCCTCCCTCCCCCCCACCCCCCACCAACCGTCCCAAGGAGATGTGTGGGATAACCACTAAATTTTAATAAATAATACCTCAAACTAAAGTTAGGATAATATAATTGACATTGCTGGATTCCTTGTAAGACCAGGATTATTTTGAATATAAATGTCATATATTTTGCACAAAAGATACCATAGTTACCTAGAGAAAAATTTTTATCTAAAAATTGTAAGTTTAAAGCAAAATATATGATGTTTATATTCAAAATGATCACCAAATTATAAGAATTCCAGCAATGTAAATTATATTCTGGCCTGGTAATTTGTATGAATTTTATGAGCTAAAACAGGCAGTCAGGCAGGGTGGCGGGTGGGGCAAATCTAAAAATAGCGTCTCGGACACTCACCGCGTATATGTGGAAAAAATCCGCGTTAAGTGAAAGTTCAGCTTTGGCAAGGCACCGCGTATATGCGAAAACGCGTTAAGTGAAACCGCGTTAGGCGGGGTAAAACTGTATATACATTTATTTTTTACAATAAAATCTCTCTATAATCCATCTATTTTTACTCATCCATTATACTATACAGGTACACCACCGATTATCCGGGAACTGATGGTCCGACGCCTCCTTTAGTCTGGACAAAATTATGAAAGGGCACTTAACTTTCCTCCCTCCCTCCCAGCCAGGGTGAAGCTAGTTTTAGGCTTAAAGTTTTTATCTTATAAAATGTCGCTGACTAGACTTAGCAAAATATAAATTGCATTGCTGGAATCCTTGTAAGATAGTGATTAATTTGATTTTAAACATCACATAGTTTGCACAAGAGATAGAAATTTTAGCCAGGTGTAGTACACTTGAGTACAAGTTTTTTAACTCAAATTTTCGGGTTTTCTTTATTATTATTACTTTTTTTTTACGGGAATTAGCCCACCTGGGCACAGGTCAAACGACCCACAACGGGGCCTGAGGGGAGAAAAAATAAGAATAGAAAGAAATTGTATATACAGCTCCTCCCCGACTTACGACCTGCCTCAGTCGTACCAAAATTTTGTCAAATTACATATTTTCGAGTCCTAACGTCAGTACATAGACAAAATTTTCATTTGAAATTCACTTTAAAATGGCTGGCAAGCTTAAAAGTGAGAATTTTGTGGTGCTGAGAAGAAAAAGAGACACCCATTTTAGATTTTCTATGTATTATTTAAGGATTTTCGACTTACGACCATTTCGACTTACGACCTGGATTTGGGTCCCTAACCCCATCGTAAGTCGGGGAGGAGCTGTAGAGTAGAAAAAGGTTATACTGTGTTAATCTACACCATGAAGATGTGGGAAAACCAGCTTTGTAAAGTGAGACAGATTATAAGTATGGAAACACAGAAGAAGGCAGAGCATTCCACAGTTTGGCTGTGTGAGGAAAGAAGGAGGTACTATAATGGGTTATTCTCGTGTAACCGACAGAGAAACGGTGGGCACCGCGGGCAAGACGTGTGTTACGAGCCCACGGCCTTGCCGGCGGTACACAGGATGCCAAATCCACCGAACATTACCCGTTAAAGTACCTGTAAAAGAGAGAGAGAGAGTGAAGCAACATTGCGGTGAAGAGAAAGGGAAGAGAGATTGTCAACTAAAGGAGGAGAGTTAATAAGACGAAATGCCTTTTGATTCCACCCTATCCAGCAGTTGGACAGAAGAAGAGCCACCCCAGATATGAGAGCAGTACTCCAAGCTAGGACGAATGAATCCCTTATACACTTGGAGCAACTGCTCAGGAGTGAAGTAGCTACGGCATCTGTACAGCACTCCCAACTTTCGGGAGGCAGCTTTAGCTATATTAAGGATGTGTGATTTCCAGGACATATTGGAGGAATGGTGAGGCCCAACATATTTATTTCAGAATTTGGCAGAATGATAGCATCCTGAAATGTAATTGGTGGGAGATCATCAAATTTACAAAGTGTAATTGGTAAATATGTAACTTTCTTCATTTATTTTTACTCATTTACATGCACCTGTAATAAGTTAATTACTAAAAATGTTATGTTTAGTGCAAACTATGTGATGTTTATACTCAAATTAATCACTATCTTACAAGAATTACAGCAATGCAAATTATATACTGCCAAGTCAAATCTGTGACATTTTATAAGCAAAAAACTAAAACTCCTTCTGTTATGATAACTTTTGTTATCTCCCCTCCCTGACAGCTGTCAACACCTCAAACCCTCCCCCCCCCCCTCACCCTTCCTCACAGCCAGGGTGAAGGCAGTTTAGGCTTAAAGTTTTTATCTTATAAAATGTAGCTGACTAGACTTAGCAGAATATAAATTGCATTGCTGGAATCCTTGTAATATGGTGATTAATTTGAGTATAAACATCACTTAGTTTGCACAAGAGATAAAATTTTTAGTCTAGTGTAGTACAGTATAAATCTGAGTACAAAGTATGCACAGTAATGTTGCTCAAAATTATGGCCTTTTCACATTTAATTTCCATTTAATATTTGTTTAATTTAAGTTTCTAGCAGTCCATGGTGCTTTAGAGACACAAAAGGTGTATAATTAGTGGGTCAGAGGTGTATTGTTGAATTATTATTAGCTAACCTTGGTTGGTCCGGCAAAACGGATAATCCGGCAAGGCTTTGGAACTAAGGGTGCCGAAAAATCGGTGGTGTACCTGTATACAAGAGTTTGATCTTGAACGCCCATATTATAATAAACCAACATTTTAATTTGTTGCTATTGTGAAGCAACACATGAATCAGAAGGCAGCGATCAAAACAGAAGGTTGAGAAAAATTTCCAGGAATTTGCTGTGTGTAAAATGAGACACAGGTACTCACTTTACATACTCCCCCCTTTGTCTACATAAAGTTCTGAGCTACCAGAGCAAATTCTTTGCACTCAAATAGGTGCCACATGAAGTAAGGATACCACAAGTTCTCTAAGAAATGAGTAGATACACAATACAACATGCATAAACAATTTCAAATTTATTAAAACAAAAATTAATAAATACAAATACAAAATATAAAATAAACATTTAAACAACACCAATAACTGCATGGGGGAAAAAAATCCTAATTTTACAGCATCAAACCCTTTAGACATGATTTTTCTCTGGGAGTTTGATAAGTAAAGTGAGGGGTTGTTACTGTGAAACTACTGTAGTTTATTATACTCTACGGTACAGTACTGTATGATAAAAATAATTGTGCAGTAGAAAGAATGAAATGGTTGACACCATAACTTGTAACTCTGCCAGCTCAAGGCTAACAGCCATTCACTATACAGTATTACCCCGCTTCACGTGTTTTTTTTTACGCGTTTCCACATTTACGCGGTACCCTGCCAGACTCGGAATGCTCACTTTACGTGGTGCATGTACTCTTTTACGCGGAGAGCGGCACGGACAGGGTGCGCACAAGCTCGCCCAGTCATCAAAAAACATTACCGAGTTCTTCACCCGCCACCCACCACAACCGGCCCAAGTCAGTGATAGTGAGGATATGGACTTATATGGACTTTGAGGGGTTTGACAAAGAGGCCCTGCAAGCCTCTGTGGTGAATAGTGATACAATTGATACAAGTGATACAGGTGAGGGCCAATAATCTGCCCTCTGCCTCGGAATCAACCCCCCATCCCCGTGTGTCCAGCCATCTTTCCTACTAATGTAAGTGTTAAAAAACCTAATATTATTGATATTTCTCTTAATTATTAATTGTGTGTGCATACCACCATAAAATTAAGAAGTAATTTTTACTACAACGTAGGTATTGTGTCTGAAAAAGTGGAGTTTGGGGGGTCGGCCCAGTCTCTATTTCAATTAATCCCATATGTTCTGTTGTTCACTTTACGCGTTTCCCGCTTTACGCGGGCCTCCGTGGGTTCAATTGACGGTGTAAAGCGAGGTTTCACTGTAATCTCACACTGTGAGTGAGTGGTCCTGTGGGATGAATCATCTCTGGGTTACTACCAGTCACCAAAGTCCAAGCGTTTATTGGGGAACCCTGAAGCACTAAGGTGTGCACATTCATGGGCCACTCTGAACTGGCACCAAGTTATAAAATAAACATTTCAAGAGACAAGTGTAATAAATCTAATTTACTCACCTCATTTCATACATCTTGATTCGAAATTGAAGCCTTTGGTAAACGGTTTGGGTGTCAGTAGCCAACCCAGGCAGACCAATATAAAGGTGGGGTCCCAGCTCAAACACTCGCTGCAGATTAAAATATTATCCACTGATGACTTTTCCCCAAAAAATTTGATTATATTGAAATTTCAGTCTTTCCATAAATTTCAGAAATACATAATACACAGCTCCATGGAAACATACCTTACAAATAAGCACACTTATAAAAGCCTAAAATTAAATCACGGAGGCAAAATTAATTTTGTGTAATGGTGGTAACATGGAAGATGAAATTAGATATAGAAAAACATGTAGAGTTTCATCCCTCAGTAACCTTTCCAGACAGGTGGCCAACATTAAATATTGGGTACTGTCTGAGAACAGCATTACCACCAGAAGGAGTTGTTCAATTTCGTACTTTTTTCCACAGAAGTTCTTTGGGTGATAGTATTCAAAGCAATACAACAATGCACAGAACATAATACTTGTAGAACCTGACCTAACCAATCAAAGAAACCTACCTAACCTTACCTAACTTCCTTTCATGCCTGTACCATATAGATCTTTTGTTTTTTTAAATAAATTTATTTAAGTACAGGTGCTGCTCTACTTCAGAATGTTCAACTTACAAACTTTCAGATACAAACATCATCACTGGGGGAGGAGGGGTTACCTGCCAGAACAGGTGTTTAATGTGGATGAGACAGGATTATTTTGAAGAAAATTCCAGATAGAACAAAGATTACCTAAGAGGAGAAGAGTGAGCCAGGTTTTAAGGTTGTATTGAGGGGTTATAGCTATACTAAATATCCATAATCTTTTCATTTTTTTACAATATGTTTGGTATCTACATGAGTAAAGTTGGACTTACAAATAAGCCTCAGGAACGTAACTCGTTCATAGGTAGAGGAGCACCTGTACACTTTTAGATAAAGTATTCAGGATTATTTGGGTAGAAAATGGTGTGTCTAACTTAATTAGAACTGATTTTATTGACTTCAGTATCAACATTTCTTGCATTCATTTATAAAAGAAAGGAATTCCCATCATTATATCATATTGAAATAATTTGGTTCAGGATATCTTATTGAAAACATCTCATTGAGAATTTATTAAGGATCATTATGGTATCAAATTCATCTCGCTACCACAATTAGCAGATGCTTGAATGAAGGAAGCCAGTGGAGAGAAAACTGACCGGGCGACCCTTCCCCTCACCCCCCAAAAACGTTTGCCTCCCACCGGCCCTAGCCTCCCTCCAACACCATCCACACAGCGACAGACACCCTCCAATACCACACACACACCCTAAAATCCCCCACAAACACCCACCTTCTACAACTTCTTTCCTGTCACTCGGAATCAAGTATGACGATCATCCATCAATAAGAAAATGATATGGGTTATTAGGGATGTCACCTTCATTGGTGAGCTCTGAGGTAACTAAGAGAGACTGATATGGGACCAGCAGTGTCGTCCACAGATGTTGCATGTGTGGAGGGCTACATCTAGTGCAGTAGGGGGTGGAGGCAGCATCTTTATGGTGCTGGCACTTGTCTGCCATGGTATGCAGTCAGCCTAACTAAAAAATTTTACACCTTCTTGTGTGGTGGTCCTCCAAATGTTACGGTGTGGACTAATCGTCTTCCAGGTGAGGTGGTCGATTTGGCACTTTTTTAACAAAAAACTGGTAAATTTGGCAATGGCTAAGCTTACCCGCCACCTACCCTCCTCCTAGTAGAGAGGTCTGGGTGAAAAAATTGCCTTATTATTCGACTTGTCATGTAATTTTTATGTCAAATTAATACTTATTGTATACATTGTATTTTTCTAACGTGTTTAATATTTTATATTAACCATGATAAAACATAAACCATAAGAGGCTGATCATACGACAATATATATATATATATACTGTGTATATATATATATATATATATATATATATATATATATATATATATATATATATATATATATATATATATATATATATATATATATATATATATATATATATATATATATATATATACAGTTGTACCCCACTTAACGCGGTCAATAGAACCCAGAGGGTCCCGTGTTAAGTGAACAACAGAACATATGGGATTAATTCCAATAGAAACCAGCCCGACCCCCAAACTCCACTTTTTGAAGGCACATACCTATGTTGTAGTAAAAATAACATCTTAATTTTATGATGGTACATGCACACAATTAATACTTAAGAGAAATAGAGAAATACAGTCGCCAAGTTAATGTCCATTCAAATAATGGACTCAACTCCCTCCCCCTCTCACACTACACTGCCGGCTCTTCCCTCTCTGAGAAATTTTTGGGGGAAAACCACTAAATTTTAATAAATAATACCTCAAACTAAAGTTAGGATAATACAATTGACATTGCTGGATTCCTTGTAAGACCAGGAATATTTTGAATATAAATGTCATATATTTTGCACAAAAGATAACATAGTTACCTAGAGAAAAATTTTTATCTAAAATTTGTATGTTTAATGCAAAATATATGATGTTTATATTCAAAATGATCACCAAATTATAAGAATTCCAGCAATGTAAATTATATTCTGACCGGGTAATTTGTATGAATTTTATGAGCTAAAACAAATATCTTCAGTTAATAAAAAAAAAAATAATCTTCACGACACTATCTGTCAATCAAAGTACCCCACCTTGCCTCCCCCCCTCTTCCAACCGCGCGGTCAGTCCCAACCCTCCCCCCCACCCCCCACCAATCCTCCCTTCAAGAGTTTTTAACATTTAGTATTAAATAATACCTCAGATTAAAGTTAGGATAATATAATTGACATTGCTGGATTCCTTGTAAGACCAGGAATATTTTGAATATAAATGTCATATATTTTGCACAAAAGATAACATAGTTACTCTGAGAAAAATTTTTATCTAAAATTTGTATGTCTAATGCAAAATATATGATGTTTATATTCAAAATGATCATCAAATTATAAGAATTCCAGCAATGTAAATTATATTCAGACCGGGTAATTTGTATGAATTTTATGAGCTAAAACAAATATCTTCAGTTAATAAAAAAAAAAATATTCTTCACAGGGTAACAGATGGTCGGTCGGTCCCTCCCTCCCCCCCACCCCCCACCAACCGTCCCAAGGAGATGTGTGGGAAACCAGAATACTTAACTTTTTTGTAATAAATAATACCTCAAACTAAAGTTAGGATAATATAATTGACATTGCTGGATTCCTTGTAAGACCAGGAATATTTTGAATATAAATGTCATATATTTTGCACAAAAGATAACATAGTTACTCTGAGAAAAATTTTTATCTAAAATTTGTATGTCTAATGCAAAATATATGATGTTTATATTCAAAATGATCACCAAATTATAAGAATTCCAGCAATGTAAATTATATTCTGGCCGGGTAATTTGTATGAATTTTATGAGCTAAAACAGGCAGTCAGGCAGGGTGGCGGGTGGGGCAAATCTAAAAATAGCGTCTGGAGCCGGACACTCACCGCGTATATGTGGAAAAAATCCGTGTTAAGTGAAAGTTCAGCTCTGGCGAGGCACCGCGTATATGATAGAACGCGTTAAGTGAAACCGCGTTAGGCGGGGTAATACTGTACAGTACATTACTTTTAATTTGATTTCCTTACTTACGAAATAAAAAGTTTACAGTGGTCCCTCGGTTAACAATGGACCTAAGTGCAAACCTGTATTGTACATGTACTAGATGATTACGGTACTAAAATTGTTATGTCTATTGCAAATACAGTATAGATTGTTTATACAGGTACAGGTTGTACCTCTCTAGTCCGGCAACCTCGGGACCTGACCAGTGCCGGACCATGGAAATTCACCCTTTTCCTGGATAAATAGTGACTTGTGTTTATGCCTGGAAGCACTAGCACCACTTTCTCTGCATCATGGTCTCTTTGAAGACATATTGAAGGGTTAAATGTCGTAGAGTAGCTTCTCAAATTTCGCTAGTTTTTAATTCTTAACGTATTTTATTGGAACACACAAAAAAATAAATAAATAAAAATTTTGACGGCGAAAACTTGAATTTCGACGGGTTTGAATGGCCCGCCAACGTGCAGACGACGTGCATAATCGTGTAAACAGCGTCATTTCTCTTATGTACAAAAGATTCATTATTGTTTATTACTGAATGTCTTTTTTATTGAATTAATGTTTATGTGTGCAAAATTAGCAATACAATTCATTAATAATACGTAGAATATTAAAACACACGAGGAAATGACGCAGCATTGTATTCGTTGATTACAAAACCAGTGACTGACTGGTTCTACATATAAAACTGAAGAAAATAAGACCTTGGTTGTAGCTGTAGTAAAATTAATATGGTTGTTTTAAGTAATGTTATTTAATGTTAATAAATGGAACAATAGAAGTAGCTAACGATAATGGTAAAGAAGAAAGAGATCGCATATGTAAGTGCGCATGCGCACACGTGAAAACATATCATCATTACTTTACATAAGAATATGAAAGCAACACTTATTTACTGTTCATATATATTTTAATTAATGTTTCTGAATTTGTTTTTATTGAATTAATGTACGTGTGTGCAAAATTAACAATACAATTTATTAATAATACGTGGAATATTAGAGGAGACGAGACGGCTGCCGGCATTGTTTATGTTAAAGCTTACGAAACCAGTGACTGATTGGTTCTACATATAAAACTGAAGAAAATAAGACCCTGAGTTTAGCTGTAGTAAAATTAATGTAAAAAATGAATATGGTTGCTTGAAGTACCTGTAATGTTATTTAATGTTAATAAATGGAACAATATAAGTAGCTAACCATTAATGGTAAAAAAAAGTGAGACTGCTCGTATGTAAGTGCGCACATGTGAAAATATATCGTCATTACTCTACATAAGAATATGAAAGCAACACTTATTTACTGCTCATATATATTGAAGGGTTAAATGTTGTACTCTGTATAGACAAGCAGAGAGAGAGAGAGAGAGAGCAGCCGAACTGCCGGATGTAAACAAACCTTAATTTCCCGCGGCTTTTTTTTTTTTTAAGGGGATTAGCCCACCCGGGAATA